GATGTCCAGGTGTTCTGCACTTTGCGTTCATCGTTTTTGCCTGTTTCATAGCATTTCTTTGCCGCTCTGACGCCGACTTCGATCTCTGTTGCGAGTTGGCAATATTCTCAGAGGGTTCCGACATCGTCTTTTTTTTTCGCGGTTGGCGACTTTCATCATGTCGCAGGACCGGGGCAAGAATCTGGTAGACTCGCTCATGACCGCCCGACAAGGTCATAACACGAAGACGTTTGACTCGCCGTTCAAGGTCGACCCGACAGTCGACGGCAAGCGGGACGACCCGGTGTGGCATTTCGTGGCCAGAGGGCGTTATTTGGATGGGTCGACGGTAGCGGGCAGGAAGAGCGGTCGTCGATGCCTGTGCAGGTTGTGCGGGCGTTCGGTTTGTGGGGGCGCTAAAGCCGCCAAGGAGCACTTCTTGAAGAACGAGAAGTCCGATGTGAGGCAGCCACTCATGCTGTGTGGAATGCGATCTGGTGGTTGAAGGACATGACAAAATGTCCAAAGGAGGTCTCGTCGGTCATAGAAACGCTGCAGAGTCACTTGCCAGGTCATCCGAGCTTGCAGTGGCCACCTCTTCGATTCCCCGAGGACGCAGTGCCGCCACTGGTTCCTCCCACCGCCCCTTCTGAAGCCGTCGCATCGCCCAATTATGGGGCTCCGGCCATTCGAGTCACGGTACCGCGTCCTGCAACAACAGTTGCAACACGACCGGCAGCCCCGCCGTCTTCGCCGCTGACTGGGACACGAGGTGCTCGTGATGTGGGAGTTGGTCGTTCCACGCCAGCAAACGAGCCCCCGCCTCTGAGGGATGGTGTGGGCTCTGCGGCATTTGACGAGGAGAGCACACGTGCATTTATTGAGAGTCGCAGGTGAGGGGGGAGTGTCGGCTGTTCAGCGCCCGCGCTCGCCCTTGTTTTCAGGAGTGCTAGGCAGTCAGATGCCGCACGGGGTGGTACTGCGGTGGCACCTGGCGCATCACCCCGCAGTTCGTTGGAGCACCCCTGGCTGCCACCGCCACCGTCGAGAGCGGCGCAACGTCCAATGGTCCACCACGCTAACGGAACCGCCCACCCGGATCTGTCACACGCACCTGCAGACGCTCGACATTCTGCTTTCGTGCCTCGTTTCAGGGAACAGGTGGATAATGGGATGCCTGCCGAGGAGGTCCCCGCTCCGGTGTCCGATTCATCGCCGACCCTTGTTCCGACAACCACGGGCGGTGGTCGGTCTGGCCCACAGCCTCCACCCGTGTTGACCGGAACGTTAGACCCTTTGCAGCGCATTCGTGACCTTGCAGTCGCCAGAGCGCGACACCTGTGAGCCCTGGCGGGTTGTTGGATACTGGGGTCCTCGGCGGGAGAGCTACGACGGGACGATGTCGGGGCACTTACAGGCAGCAAGCCATCACGTCATATTATTTGGACCCTTTGGAGCGCGCATGGCATCTGCAAATCATGCGGTTCATCGTCGAGAGCGGGATGTCGTTCAACAGCATGAAGCTTGAAAGCTTCAAACGCATGTTCACGATGATAATCCCGCCGGGGGTTCTAGGGGCGCCCGCTCCTAGACTTCCCTCGTACCACATGCTGCGCACGACCCTTTTGGACGAGCTGGATGGTGAGGTCCAGAAGTGTGTTCGGCCGGTGCTTGACACGTCGAGAGAGACCGGTTGCACAATCATGACCGATGGTTGGACCAACATCCGTGGTCAGATGTTGTGCAACTACCTTGTTGGTACAGAGATCGGGGTGGTGTATGTGTCCACCGACGTCATGCGTGACAAAAAGGATGCCAGTGCCCTCGCGAACGCATGGTTGAAAAGGGTGAAGTCCATGGACGTTCAATTGAGCGACATCATGGCGTTCGTGACGGACTCCGCCGCGGTGAATGTCGTGGCGATGGAGGTATTCCAAAAAGATGAGAGCATGAAACATATCTTTTGGATTCCTTGCGTCGCCCACATCATGGATCTCATTCTCGAGGACATCGGCGGGATTGATTGGGTGGCTTCCCGCATTTCTCAAGCGAGGCTGGTTACAAGGTTCTTCAAAGGCCATGGACATGCGAGAGAGGTTCTTGAGGCGCACTCGGCGAAGACTCTTCTGCTACCGGCGGAGACGCGTTTCGGCACGAACGTCATCATGATGGAGAGGCTGGTGGCACTGCGGGCCGCGTTGACAGATGTTGTGGCCGACGATCGCTGGCGCAAGACTGTTTGGTCGACCAGCAAGATCCGCAAGGATGCAGCGGAGGTCACTGCATGTATCGGCTCCCCTCCATGGTGGGAGGATTTGAGAGCTCTGTGCAAGATGCTAGAGCCCATCATGGGCATGCTGAAGTTGGTGGACAGTGACACATGCCAGATCAGCAAGATTCTGCAACGTTACGAGGAAATGATTGCATATTGTTTATCCGCATGTCGTGACATTGATCGGGAGCAGCAGGACGCTATTGTGGAGGTGTTCCACAGGCGGCGCACCATGTTCAAGACCCCTGCCCATACGGCAGCCATGCTGCTAGATCTAGAGTTCCGGGATGCGACGCTTTGTGACGATGCGGAGGTGCAGCAGGCCTTGGTCGAGGCCCTTGTCCAGTTCGGCTACCCGGAGGATTCGCCGCAGCACCGGGAGGTCCAATGAGCGATCGCCAAGCTCCACACGAGGGAGCCCCCTTTCGATGAGCTCACCATGCGGCGAGCTGCGGATATCTTTGATCACCCTGTTAGTTTTTGGTCCTCAAAGAAGGCGAAGTTCCCTCACACGGCCGTGTTTGCAGGCAGGATCCTTCGTATATGGGCGACCGCCTCACCGTGCGAGAGAGCATAGTCTCGTTGGAGCTTCATTCATTCGAAGTCTTGCAACAGGTTGGAGGTTCCCCGGGCTGAGAAGCTTGTACGGTGCCACTGGAACCTTAGGCTACTCGATCGACCTTCGTTGTACGACGATGGTGTTGGAGAGAGGCCCGACGTCTTCGGGAAATGGGTGCATTATTGGCAGGCCGTGGAGGACGAGGCAGCCGTGGACCAGCAGCTCGTCAGAGGCACCKGTSTTCTGGCGAAGGTGACCGAGGAGGAGTTGAGCCTCGCCAGAGAGAGGATGCGCGCCATTTCCCGCATGGGAGCCGAGCGTCGGGTGGCGGAGTCGGACAGGAGGCGACGCAGGGCTGGTGGTCGGGGACGTGGCGGCCGTGGACGAGCAGGTGTTGAAGGACGTACACGTGGCGATGCGGGTTCCACTCCTCGGACTCGGCGACAGCGGACGGATGGTGACATTCGCAGGGTCCGCATGCCTTGGGACGAGGGTGACTTCTTGTTCGACAGCACATCCAGCGACGACGACGATTTCTTGGCGTCGGGAACACATGCATCCACGGGTGATGATAGAGGTGACACTGACGACAGAGGCGATGACAGAGG